GTTTTAATCGAAATGCGATGCACGCATTCGTGTAATTTCGTAATCACCTCGCGCGCAACGGAGCGGCCTGGCCGGAGGGCTGACGCGGGGGTGCGGGTGCAGGGGTGAAACGGCCGGGTTGAATTGAAAAACACGACTACCCGTTTCAATCTGACAGATAAAAAACTGGCGGGCGTGTAAAGTTTCGCTGTCGCGAGAATGATGCGATAAACGATCGCATGCGTTGCCGCACGCCGGGGTAACACCGGCGTTAACGCGTTTAAACGTTTTTAACGATAATCTGCATAACGCACGACGAGAGCGCGCGGTAGTACGCGCATCGGACGTGAAAGTTCAAAAGCTCGAAAGGGGGTTGCAGGACGTGGTGGTAACACGCGCGCTGTGTAACGCGCCGCGTATAATTACTGCGAATTGATTGCCGCGCGGGAATAACCCGGGCCGTTTATAAATTCAATGCGAATATTCATCGCGCGTTTATATCACGAACGGGAGATTGCAGCCGCCAATTAGTCGGATGTACGAACTTCTGTATTAGTTCTTTGTACGACTGTAGAGCAGAATCGCGACTCGCGCCGATCGGCGGCGATTGAAACGCAGCTTTTCGTTCCTACTTCAGCTTAAATTCTGTATATCGCGAAAGAGCGATATCCCTGCAATTGTTTGTATCCCTCCATTGGCCATGATTATAAATATGAACGTGATTAAACAGCGTCCGATAAAATAACATTTGTTATGAAATAATACTTCGGTATAAAATAACATTTGTTATTTTATTTTGAAATACATACGTAACAAAATACACCAATTTTTAAGTACGTCAATACTATCGCATCTCGTTTCTTTTTTCTTAATAAACGTAAATTGAATAATAAATTGCGATTCATTTTAATAAAATGCAATTTATTTAATTTATGATAGAAAATAAAAATCACTTTCTAGGATAGTTCTTTTACTCTTTGCTGTACTGGTCCATTATAGATACTCAAGTCACTTTACGCTTTTAGAAAAAATGTCATTATCTAATAAGTCGCTTCAAATCATTGAAATTTTCTAGAAATTAGGTTCTGAAAAATATCACAATATAATGTATTTTACTTGTCTAAAATTATTAAAAAATTTTTTTATTCAAAGATAATATTTTATTCAAAAGAACAAAAATATTTCAAAAATTATAATAAAAATTTAAGTAAAGAGGTCGTAACTTGACGGAAGTATCAAACCAATCATCCGGTCCATGATAACATTTCGCATATATTTTTTATATTATCATCTGCTGATAATATAAAAGAAATTCTAACATATGATATGTTATCGACTGAAAGTAAAACAAAATAATTGTGAAATTTATTTCATATAAATATTATAAAAAATACTATATCATAATTACCTAGAAAAAGAAGTCTAAAAATATATATAAGAATGATAAAATTTTTTAATAAATGAAAAAAAAAGCAGAGTAAATTAGTTTCTCAGTATTATGGCAGAGGACGTTGTAGTCTTTTTCTGCAATTGAATATACTTTCGTGAGAGGAATACTCAGGAATAATGTTACATATTCACATTGATTAAAATTCCCAAATATGTTTACTTAAAACAAAATAAATATTTAATCGTGCGTTAAAAAGAGAGAAAACGAATATTTTAAGTGTAAAAAATGGAGGACACAAACAGACTGATTACTCATTTTTCATTGTTGAATTTAGTTTTTTAATTTTTTATAAATTTGCCACCGATAGACAATTAGATACATTAAGAATAGAGTTAAAAATAGAAAATAAAATTATTTTTATTAGGGTGCTTCGTGCTAAAAGCCCTTATCATTTTCAAATAATTTCCTCATCCACTCCAAACTGTAGCCCTTCCGACAACCCTCTTCAAAGGTAAAAGCGAGAGGGTCAGTTACGCGAAAAGCGTAATAATGCATCGATGCATGATCGAACAAAGTGGAGCCTGGCACAAAATGCGGCGCATGACCACGCGGTGGCACTCCGATAACACGCTCGAATAATAAGGATAGCGCCCGGAGAGGATACAGGGTTGGATACGCACGCGTGAGCCCGCGTTCGGGGTCCGTCTTCCGTTTCCAGTCCGGTCACTATGATGCGCGATGTGGAACCGAGTCGAGAATATTGTAGAATATGTGGCGATTCTATTACGTTCAAAATTTATTGTAGATGCATCTGTAACCCCGCTAATTGAATTACAAATTTGGCTGGTACTCTTTTATACAATACGATATTTAACCACCCTCATACATTTTTTCACGACAAACTGAACCCATTAGTTACTACAATATCATGATCATTATGATAATTAGAGAACGTCAGTATCTTTTAAATAAATAACATCATACATGATTTAAAATTTCTTTTATTCCTACATTATATTATATATGATTTCGCATTCACATGCAAGCTAACAATTAGACTCGTACATATAAGAACGTATATTCAACACTCGCGAATATTAAATTTCAATAAAAGTATAACTGTTAAATTTTCAGCTCGAGCAATTTTACTTTTATAGCTCCTGTCTCATTACTCTCATGACAAATACATTATTATGATTATTTCTACGAGAGAAATATAAAACATACATGGTCTTTAAATAAATTGACTTCTAACTCATAAATAATAGTCAGGCTTTTACATAACAGTCTCATACTTTTATGTAGTCAGCCTTATGAATGCATAAATCATTATCGAATAAAAAGAAAATTCTTAACGGCTTAATTTCACATTAACTCGCATCGTTCCGCATCCTGAACGCTCACTCTATTTACCGCGCGCACTTTCTTTCCGCGCCGCGTACTCCGTCGCGTCGCGCTACTTCTCGGACATGAGCCCCTTTCGCGAGAAGATTCGAATTCTTTCTTTCGACGAAGCAATCGACGATCACGGAATATTTGCGGCCAAGATTTTTAATACGACCGCATTGTCTCCGCAACTTTCTCTCGTTGCGTATAAACTTGCATCGCTGGTGCCACGTGGTACCACAATAGCGCCAGCATTGTAATTGTATGTCTCGTGGATCTTTACGCAGTAAATAACATTTTCTACTTTTATTAAACGGATTCTTGTTAAATTTCTTATGTTGAATTTTTAATATAATCCAAGTGTTAATTCGATATAACATTTAATTATGTTATTTAATGTTTTGTATTAAATTAATAACATTGACACTTTTTAATGATAAAACGACACAATTTATGCACAGAAAAGATTGTTTTGCTAAAGTATCTAAATATTTAGCATACAGATCTCAATTAAACCATCAATAATTACGTACGATTTATCTCAAATGATGAACAATGCTGTAAAAAGTTTTGATATTCTAGTAACTAAGTTAAGCATTATACATAGTTATTTTGATGGTCCAATAAAATTATTTTTGGATCGATATCTAACTTAATTTTTAGATATTTCAATAAAATCGTGTAAGTAGAAATCAAATAATATTAAAAATAATATAGTTGTAAAATGTTTTTAACTAAATGAATAAAAGATGAATGTTGAGAAGAAGGTGATTTATTATTACCCCAGTTACATTTTACACAATAACTTTGTTAATAATCAATATTTAAGTTTAAAACTTGATTTATTAAAATGTTATTAAATCGATTCTGGACTTAAAGTTACGAAATATTTATTATTTAGAATACTATTAATAAAAATGTGACGACATTGCATAATGACTTGAGAAAAAAATGGGTAATAATATGGTCTTCCCTAAAAATAGCCTTAAAATATTAATTTTGTTTAGAAAACAGTTTGTTTTGATTACAAAATTAACAAAAAGTAAAACATTTAAAAATATATATTCAAATGAATGTATATACATTTACATAACTTCCGCATATAAGCTGCTCAATACTAAAAATCTCAGTAAAAATAGTACACGTAATATAAACAATAGATTAACAGTAGAGCTACAATCATCAAATAATTATTTTGATATGAAAACCTCAAAAAAGAAGACGTGAGTAATTAATATTCATAAAGGATCACATTAGCAAAATGCCATGCTATTGTTTAAATTTGTATAACACAAAATATATACAGTCAAATAAAATGTTAAATAGCAAATAACACACTCAAAAATACGTATATTCATCTCATAATACGTTCAAGTTTAAAAAAATGACGAAGTAGGTGTTATTAAATACTAAAATGTATCTTAGAAACGTTTCGAAATACTTGAAAGTAAATATGCGTTATAATAAATGCTATGAGTATTGGTATATTAGCGTCATAGTGTAACGGTGAGTTACTGAACAAATAATTCCATAAGTAATCATTAGGATTAGTTATTTGATAGCGGAGATATTAAGGGAAGCCACAGTACACTGATCATAATATACTATCTTCTCCTCTAAATATTGATTTTACTGATAAAATATGCTTTCACAATTTGTCATATTTCTTGTGTTATTTTTTCACATGTTTATGTTACTTCATATATATATATAT